GACAAGGGTGTGTCTTTAGCAAGTCTGATCAGTCATACTGAGAATAATCTGTTTTCCTATGAGTCACACATCCACTGATACATCCTTGGGGACATGCCACATTTTAAACTAAACAAGAGGACTTAATGGCCCTTTAGATGTTATTGGAATTGAATCCCCATCTTTCCCTTCCATTAGTGATGTTGACTTTGTCTGATGAAAAATGGAAGCCAACAAATTCTGGACCATGGGTTCCCAACATTGTAGCACCTGAAAGACAAGAGGAACTTTGAGCTCCCAGTGATTGGAACCTCCAACTCCCATAGTCACGGTGAAGTTACTAGGACTGTAAGTCTAAAGTATTTGGATGCCCAATTTAGTAGTTTCCCATCCCCGTAATTTGGATTGGGATTATGTTGCGGTACCTCAACAGTGCAGATGATGGTTTTTTGTCATTCCATAGCATCATAACCAAACTGATATCCCAGCTAGCTAGCTAACCAACTAATAGATAGCTGCAATAAAGATCAAATAAAAATAAGTTTTTTTCAAGTAATGAACAGTTTAGATGTTATCTTTGAATAAGCAATCTAAATACAGTTATTTAAAAAAGCTAAGAAGGGCTATTTGTTAGCTCTGTTTATTTGTCTTCTGGAAACCAATTTAGATCAAATGCTACAGAGTTGGTGTGTCAATTTCCAGTGTAGGTTCCCTGATTCCTTGGGTTGACTCCAGTGTCTCCAGTCCCATGTTTACTGTAAGATACTATTATACTTTTTCTCCTAAGATGACAAAGCCACTGAGGGAATGAAGGTGTCTCCTCACCATAAATCCTAGCAGTGGACAGCATGATAACATCTACCATCGCATCTTAGAAGAGGATTTTTTTTATCTGCAGAGTCCCCATGCGCTTGAAATAATACACCGCCTAAAATTTTACAGAGGAAAACCAGAATACAAGTGATCAAGCAATATTAGTGTGTTGTTAAGATGGCAAAAGTTGTTATGGAGGTAAAAGAGGTATTAGGGATGGAATTCCCATTTATTTTGTTCTTCAGAGAGGCAATAAGTACATTGTGGTAGCTTTCTTTTCACTGGATGAAAATCTTGCAAACTTCGCAGTTTCACGATTTGCAATTGACCTATTTTGCACAAATATTGCATGTGATGCGTGGAAGCAAAAAAATATTTTTTTTGCACAGGAAACAGCATTTTCTATGTAGAAAATAATTCCAAAATGTATTTTTTTCTGTGTAGAAAATGCTGTAATTAAGAACTTATTGCTGTAAAATTCACACCTTCATAGATAATGCTGCTTTATGCACACCAAAAACCCATGACATCACTGGGTCTTAAATAACATGTCTTTCCACCATTGCTCAAAGCAGTATCTTTCCAACTCATAATCAAGACCAGAAGAAAACGTTTGATATATGTTGAAGCATTTGACAACCCTCCCAGGCATTGTACACAGAGCTCTGAGTGACAGCATTCAGAAATACCCCAGCTCGCAAGAATGACAGAAAATTGCTAGTATGATTTATTTTGACAGTTCTGGGGGTTTCCATTCTAAATACATTTTGCTTCTTTAAACATGTGGCATATAAGAAGGGAAAGTTTCAGAGTGATTAAAATTGCGATTAAAACAAGAGCCTCAAGGGAAAATATTACAAGGCCACTTTAAAAAAAAGGCATGTCTAAAAAACATTCCACAAGACATACCTCTTGAGTTTTCAAATATACACTGAAGGAAAGGCCACAAAATATTCAGAGATATTATTGGCTGTCTTGCATTGAAGGCTAGCTCTAACATGTAGCACAGAAATGTCTGCCCCACAGTGTTAGCAACAGGAGTTGAAATGGAATTTTTAGCGCATATTTTCTAACATGCAGACACAGAGGAATCTGACCTAGAATTAAGTTTATCGCTTCCTCCCAACATGGCTGTTGGATGCCTGGTGGAAAGGAGGAAGAAAAAGCATAAAGTAGAGTTGAACTCTTTTCCATGGACATGACACATGGCAAACACAGCAAGGTGCCCATTTTCCCATTCCCCCCTTACAGGAACTTCACCCCTTGGTTTCCACATGCTTTGGAAATGAAGCTCCATGGGAGTCCCAAGGGGATTATCACATGAGATAAGAGCACTTCCAGTGGGATTCCAGGGGGCTTTGTTTTCCATATACATTACCTGCTTGTAGAAAAAATGTGGGATGGCTGGTCATCCCAGAAGACCGTGAAAGATTAGAAGGAACAGGGAAAGACAGGAGGGAATGGGGTTAAGATGGTTCTGTCTGCTTTCCTCCCCTTTCCTGCTACTCATAGGATGAGGCCCAAGATCTATTTTAGGAAAATAGCTGTGGATGAAATTTGGGGTTTGGAAAGTGAGGGAGGTGTTGTACCACCTGATGGAGCTTAACATCTTGCCTGAAGATCTCTAGTATTAAAATTACAGGAGCTCTACACAGGTATTGAACTTTACTGGAAGAAGAGAGAACCATATGAATTCGGTCCAGTCCAAAAATTATGAAGTTAAGAGAATCTATTGAAAAGCCAAAATGAGCAAAGAAGCCAAAAAGACCACTGTAATGATCAATGCAGGGAAATAGAAATTGACAACAACAACAAAAAATCACAAGGGTTCTTCCACAAGATTGAAGAAATCTAAATGTAAACCAAGAGTGGGGATGATGTATGCTGAACATGGGAACAAATTACATGACTAAGTTGAAATAAAAGTGGAAACAGTACATGGAAGAACTATATAAAAGATAAATTCACTTGTGTATAAATCATATGAAAACAGAACTCAATTTTAGTAAGTAAAATAGATCCTGAATTCAGAGAACTTGGGAGAAATAAGTTACTTAGAACATATAGCAAACCAGATCCGCTTCAATCTACTGATATAGCTTTTAGTCAGCTATTTCTATATTTATCTCTATCAATAAATATGGAAAAACAAAAGAATGTTCCAGCCCAAAAGGAAGAGTTGAGGTTGCAGCAATCACAGGACCATTGCATTAATTACTCACGTAAGAAAGCTTGTGCTGAAAATTGTACAACAAAGATTCAGCTTTTGTTAGATGTCCAAACTAGGTTCAGGAAAGGAAGAGGTACCAGGGATCATATTACAAACATATACTGGTTTAAGAATTTCAAAAGAAAAATAGGCTTTACTTTAGAGACTATAGCAAAGCTTTTGATTGTATACATTATACAAAGCTATGGATCACAAAGAAATGGATGTACCACAACATTTGATTATCCTGATATGTAGCCTGTACTCAGAACAAAAGGCTACTTTTGTGACAGAATACTGAAAAACTGATTGGTTCCCAATCTGCAAGCTGATCAGGGCAAGTGCATTTTATTACTGTTTAACCTGTATGCTGAAATTTTCATGTGTAAAGCAGGAAAATTAACTAATTTGAGATGTGGTACAGGAGAAGGGCTCTGTGGATGGATACGGTGAACTAATAAAAAGATTAATAAATTGATCTTAAACAAATGAGGCTTGAATTTTATCTAGAACTCAAAATTACTAAATTGAGGCTGTCATACTTTGGCCATGTGACTCATTAGAAAAACAGTGATGTTTGTTAGGATGGAAGGCAGCACACAAAGAGAAAAACTGTATTACAGATTGACAAAATCAATCCAGGTAGGCACTGTTAAGCTGAGTCTGCAAGATTGTTGGGGACAGAGTGACTTGAACGTCTGTCATTCATAGGGCCACCATAAATTGAACTGATTTAAAGACAGCAACATAATATCTAAGAAGCTAGAGAAGAACTATGAAATTTGCAGAAGTGTCAATGAAATATATAGTAGAGAGGCAAAAGGGGGGATTTGGCTGAGAGCCCTTCCACACTGTCCCTATATCTCAGGAACCGATCCCAAATTATCTGTTTAAAATTGGATATGAGTCTCCACTGCCAGATAATCTGGGATAAGAAAATCATCTGGGATCAGCTCCTGGGATATAGAGGCAGTATGGAAGGGGCCTGAATGAAAAACAATAAATGTAGCATCAGTCCAAAGAAGATCATGCTGCAAAATTATTGCTGCAAGCTCCACTAACTTATTGAAACTGCAGTACATAGGCCTGAGGAATCTCCTTGTGAAAGAAGTTCCACATTTCAGGTCCCACAATTGAAAAAGCCCTCTTTGCAGTGGAAAAGACTCTTCCAACTTGTAGTAGCAGCAAGAAGAGTTGGAGCTTCCCATTTTAGCATCCTATTCTTATATCAGCTTTGAAACCAAAGAAGGTCACATATAATTAGATGGTAACTATGGATGTCCATAGCAACTCCATGGTTTAAGTATAACCTGATTTAGAAAATAATAATAATGGGAACTTAGAAATAGAAATATGCATTTGTTCAACTCTTTTTTGTTAGAAAAAAATATGTGTTTTATTTAATTCACAGTTAGCTTCACTAAATGAATTGCATTACCAAATCCAGAATCCACATATGATTTAATTTTATTCTGCATTAGCTAATTAGGCTATTGCATAGTTATCTCTTAGTTGTAAGGGTTGGCAGAAGAAATAAGGGGAAAGCTTCCTGTATCTTTAATGGCTGTGTGCAGCACATTTCAGATGTCATGAAAGCAACACCTGTGGAATCTCTCTCTGCAGCTCAACCTTAAAGGGAAAGGAGTATCACCTCTGGGTAACCCTACGTGCTATTTACTCCCAAGTAAATGGATCACATAGCAGTTAGCTAAGTAACTGTGTCCTGGGTTGTCAGTGTTCTATTTTAACACATGCAAAACACAACACAAAGAGATAGTAGAACAACTACTAGATGCATCCCCTGGGATTTCATCATTCAAATATAAATCTATAGCACAAGTTGAACAAAGAACATTCTGCTCATTGGTCTAAAGCAAGTCACTTAGCTTCATCAAGTTAACATCAATTATGTTGCTTTCTCATCTATCAATTTAGAAACATGATCAGCTTTGGGCTGTATTGTATCACCTCAGCCCTGCAATTCCACCAGTTCTCTTACCTGTTTAAGGAATCCAGCTCAGAGCAGTGAGCTATTGCTGAAGAAGCGAGTCCCAACAAGGCACTTCCAGCCAAAACAGAAACTGGCTCTCCAAAGTTAAAATCAAACCGAAAACAAGCCAAACCCAGCAGGATGCTTTGTAGAACTTTAACATGAAAAAGGAGGAGGGAGGAAACCTCTCTCCATCCCACTTCTAAGTGCCCGAAAGGGACAATCTTTGAAAAGACTGGTGTTTTTGAGAGAAATACAGCAAGGGAGAGGGAAAAAAGTGTGGAGAGAGAATCAAACTCCTTAAAGTCCAAAGATTCCACAGCCGTTACCGGAGCAAAGAAGTGATGTGCCCCTGTGGCTTAGGCTAACTTTGGAAGGATGGAAAGCACAAGGGCAGGAGGAATATTTTGGGAGGGGTCTGGCCTCTGGAGGGGGAATGAGGGTGTGTGCAAATCAAGGATCTTCAATTAGAAGAGGGAGGGAAGACAGGGAAAGGTAGGCTTCGATGCTGAACATTGAACATTGATAAACCCTGTTGAATGCAGCACATTTCCCATTGAATATTGAACATTCCCTATTCAATGGATGAGGTGTATGTCTGATTAAGTAAGTGTGTAACTGTGGGGAGGAAGAACTTTACCCCCAAATAGGAATTCTGCCTTCTTCAGTCCCCAAAATATCCAACATTCCAGAGTATGAGACACTGAAAAACATTCAAACCTAATACTCTTACATTTACTATGTTTACATTATCTTGACTACTTTACCCACCCCTTTTTCTCAGTACCTAAATAGTTTTTTTTAAAATGGTCAGATGAAGTTTTAATTTTCTTCACTACTTACATTGTAAGGAATGAATGAAAAATCCTTTTGAAAGTCAGAATTCTTTGGGGAAATCAAGGCTCTTAAGGGGGGGGGTGTTAAGGCAAGGTGAACATTAATTAATTGTGTAATTCATTGAATATTTCAAATACATGCATAAATAAAAATTTCCTGTTCCAGAAGAACCTGTGTTACTGCCAAATCAGCTTAAACTACTGAAAGAGACATTTCATATACCAATATTACTTTGCTTTGTTGTTTATTCATTCAGTTGCTTCCGACTCTTTGTGACCGTATGGACCAGCCCATGCCAGAGCTCCCTGTCGGCCATCACCCCTCCCAGCTCCTTCAGAGTCAAACCAGTCACTTCAAGGATACCATCCATCCATCTTGCCCTTGATCGGCCCCTCTTCCTTTTCCCCCAGCATCATTGTCTTCTCTAAGCTTTCCTCTCTTCTCATTATGTGGCCAAAGTACTTCATCTTTGCCTCTAATATCCTTCCCTCCAATGAGCAGTCGGGCTTTATTTCCTGGAGGATGGACTGGTTGGATCTTCTCATAGTCCAAGGCATTCTCAGCACTTTCCTCCAACACCACAGTTCAAAAGCATCTATCTTCCTTCGCTCAGCCTTCCCCATGGTCCTGCTCTTACATCCGTAGGTGACTATGGGGAATACCATTGCTTTAACTATGTGGATCTTCATTGTCAATGTGATGTCTCTACTCTTCACTATTTTGTCAAGATTGGACATTGCTCTCCTCCCAAGAAGTAAGCATCTCCTGATTTCCTGGCTGCCGTCTGCATCTGCAGTAATCTTTGTGCCTAGAAATACAAAGTCTGTCACTGCCTCCACATTTTCTCCCTCTATTTGCCAGTTATCAATCAGTCTTGTTGCCATAATCTTGATTTTTTGATGTTTAACTACAACCCAGCTTTTGCACTTTCTTTTTTTCATCTTGATTAGAAGGATCCTCAGTTCCTCCTTGCTTTCGGCTATCAAAGTGGTATCACTTTGCTACTGTTGACTAATTTCAGATCTGCTGAAATCATGGCTTTGGGGACCTGGTGTGTCTAGCTTCCTAGAATACCAAATTAGGCAGAGACGGGAAGAAGGCAAATGCAGAGGTTTGTTCTCATTGGCCAAAGAGGATGACAGCGGAGCAAGCTCTCCAAAGTACTGGCATAACACAATTGAAAATGCAGGGCATTTTTATTTCATCTGGCAAGTATTCAAGAAACCCGTGCCAGCTCCTGATTGGCTGAAAAACAATCCAACTAGGATCTGTTTCCTGAGTGGCTCAGGACTCCATTGGATATTAATTCTTCATATGATGGGAAATTCATCAAACCATCATTGGAGCATTTGAAGTGTTGGTCCATTTATTGATCCAACTCCAAGTGGGTCATGATCAGAAATTAATGCAGTGTGACATTTGAGAAATGAGACCATGATGGTCTTAATGGCTTATCTCTGGTTAATACAATAGGGTTAGTCCAACATCCAATGTACACAATGCAATAGGTGAGGCTGGCTCAAGACAAGGGTCCTGGATCTTTCCCATAGATCGCTGCGTTATTATTATTGGAAGCAGGAAATGGATCCAGAAACTCTGACACAAATTCATTGAATACTTCCCTTCACTTTTGCCAGTACATTGTGAGGAGATTATGGAAATTAAAGAAAGGGAGTTTGTGTGATCAGACAGCATACCAGAGACAATTCAAAAGAAAAGTTAACGTAAGAAAAAAAAAACATGCTTGCAAGGTCATGGAAGAGTTGTGGCTTCTATTGATATTGTTTTATGCTATTTCGTAATTTGGGCTCCAATTTCTCGATATCGCAGCCAATATCACTTTGCACACATACCAGTGAATCCATATGATAAGAAAAGAGATTTCATCTAAACATCTAGCAATAGTGTTCTTATTTAAAAAAAAAAGATTAGTGTAATACTCAGTGGATGGTGGACTTTATTTCTTTGGAGGACTTTAGACAGAGGTTGGATGGAAAGCTTTTGGGAGTGCTTTAGTTGTGTATTCCTAGATCATAGCAGATTGGTATTCTTGTACTGAAGAATAAATTGGGTTCGTAACCCCTTCCAACCATAAGATTCAATGAAAAACCTGAATCCCTGAGCATCTTCACTGTACCATATAGAACTTTTGGTTACCATCTTCCCCAGTAAATGAATGACCCCCCCCCCCAGCCATTTAGAAAAAAACTACTTGAAACTTGGGAGACTGAATTTATTTGGTTTTTTATAGGGGAAAGGAATAATGAAAAGGGGAACAGGTGAAGGAAGAAGAGAAAGACTGCATGCAAAAAATTTGGGTTTTACTATTAAGGGAAACGATAAAGAGTAGGGGAGATGAGAGAGTGAGTATTACAGCTCTTGGGCCAATTTTAGCCCACTTGACCAAGTATTTTGTTCTCTTTATAGCTGCTTCTGAAATAACTCACGGTGGGGTGGAAAGAGGGGATGGAGAGAAAGATGACACGGGAGGAGACAGTAAACCTCTTTTTCTGTCCAGATTTGGAAAGACGAACTCAGATACTCAGAGATGTAGCTTATGCTAGAAGGAACCATGGGCAGAGTATCCCCTGCAAAATTCGGACACAAAGAAAAAGGGAACGCGTTTTATTTTGAGACCAGAAGATTTTTTACTAAATTGCTTTCTAGCTTACGGTCTAAATTAAAGGGTCCTTGGCAAGGATATTTTGGGAGGTAGCTCAGCTGTGGCTTGGTGGCTGGAGCCACTCCGTCTTTACATAAGAACCTCAGGTTCTTATTTTTGTACAGAACCATTGAGCAGGACAGATCCTAGACATCTATTATGAGCAAGGAAAAAATCTCAGCTGGTGCTGAATGTTTGTCAACAAGATTTCTACAAGTGGAATGGGAATTCAACATATTTTATGGCACTGGTTAATGCCCAGGTCTGCCAGAAGAAAGGTCTTTTGACAATGTCTCTGCTTGGTGTTGAGTTTATCTTGCTCAGCTGAAATAGCTAAATATACTTTCCCCAAGTATCTTGACACACACACCACTGCATCTTGTAAATATTTACTAAGTGACAACATGAAGGAGTCGTGCAAGGTCCTCTCATGAATTAATAAACATATGACGGGATCAGAAGATTGTGTATTATCTTTTGGCTTGTGTTTGCTGTCAGTGTGAAGGAGGACTGTAATTATTTGCTAATTTTCTTATCCAAAGATGTAATGAGTAATGTGGAACTTTGCCACATGAAGCCACTATGGTATTCCCATGACTCGGGATAGCAGTAATTAGTATGGCCATCTTCTTCACTGTTGGTGTTATGCAACTGTGACATGTCAGCAGTACAAGGTCCTGTGATCACGCTTCCAGGTGGGCAGTGTAACTCCTTGTTTCTGCTGTGCCGCTCTACCCCTTTATATTTTTTAAATTTGCAATTCGACAAAGTATAGGTAATAATAATATAATCATAGAGTTGGAAAATACCACAAAGGCCAGCTTCATCACAGGGAGTTGGTGGACCAGCAACACATATTGTACAGCATTTTTGATAGGGACTGTCACTAAATATGACAGCCCTGGTTTAATGCCAGTTTTCCATCTATGTGTCATAAGTATGTTCCTTCCTTGACAAGGAAGTCTTTGAAAACAAGGAAAGTTTGAGGCAAATATTAACATTTCAAGACTTTCTCTCTTGACTGACACCAGGTGTGGCCTCACAGCAATGAATGAATTTAGATATGTTTTGAGTGAACATGCCTACAAGGGACCGTGTGTCTTTGGCCAATAGCATCTTAGACAAATTGGCATCACCCACATTCATGTGGAACTCTCTCAAAGAAAAGTTTTATGAACACACAGCCATCATGATGTAAACAACATTGACATTGCAGAATGGTGAATGCTGTGAAAGTGATTCCCAAATGGGGGACATGAGAGAAGCCTCCTCACAGGATTGCAAAACATCCGGGCGTACCCTGGGCAACGTCTTTGTAGACAGCTGATTTTCTCGCTTCAGAAGCAACCAGAAGCAACTTGCAGCATGCATGCAAGCAAGCAAAACAACCAACTGACCTTTTCAGGACCAACCATGACAATAATCTCAATCAACATTGAAGGCATGTCAGCTGAAATGGGGCTACAAAGTGGAATCCACAACATGTGAGTGCGGAGAAGAGCAAACCTGCTGCAATGCAACCTGAGCCCTGCTACATGCACAATGGAGAACCTTCTTGCGGCAACACCAGAGGCACTCCAAGTGGCCAGATACTGGTCAAAGGACATTTAATCAACTACCAAGCTTGTAAACTTTGAGTTTTTTTATCTGTTTCTTTATTTTGTTCTGTTAGAAATGTAATACAATGGTCTAATTGCCCCTAACATGATAAATTACATGATTCCCAAATAAGTGACACCACTTCAACTCCCATGGCTCATTACTGTGGAATCGGGGGAGTAGTAGTTTTACAAAAATCTTTAGCCATAGTAAACTACCATGATTAAATAATATCATGGAACCATGTCAATTAAAGAGGTGTTAAACTGCATTGCCCTTGTGGTGTCTTCCAACTCTATTAAAGTATGAGAGTAGGTGCACCCTGAGTGAACTTAAGCAAGTATTCTCTCACTCTTGGAGAAAGCCAGTGGGAAACCCACTGGTATGTCAGGTTTGGCTTGGGGTTAGCATAAATCCAGAAATTATCATCATTATCACCACTGTCATTATTATTTTTTCACTTCTCTTTGTGGATTAAGGCAGATAGTGGCAATACATATACAACCATATGCATTTAACACATATCTCAACAACAATGATGGTGAATTTCTGATATATGTGCAGTTTTAATGCAATCATGGGGAAGAGTTTGAATACTCAGAATGGGATGTTTGCTTGAGTTATCACTACTGTAGAATGAAAACACAGCTGGAGTTGTAAGTATTGGGGAAACAAAATGAAGGCATTGAGCTTCTGTAATAATTTGTTTCAGCCTTCAGATGTATAGCATTGGATAAATAAGACATAGTGAGAACTCTTCAATGTACTGTATTTGCATTCCCTTGGCAATTTTGCCTGCCTCTTTTCTTTGAGTGCCTAAGCTGCTGTTCTAAATGCTCAACTGAAGTTTTAAATTACTGAAACAACAGAATTTGAGAATTAAATGAAAGTTTTGTGAGGAAAGCTTTATTTTTATTTGGAGGGAATGCCCTAATTTTGCCCTATTGCCCTACTTCTACCTTTTACTATATAATGATGGATATTGTTAAAAAGAAATCTTAAGCTACAACCACCACTGCTGAACCAACAACCGGTAGGACTGTAACATATATACCTCTATAGCTTGTATTTATTTGGTCAAACCTAGTTAAAATATTTTGCCTGAATCTTTATATCCTTCACACAGTGATGCATAGCAAACAGTTAAAACACGTAGTGGAGAAATGAAACAAAGCATGTTTTAGAGGGGAACGATCTCAATATATGTAATAATCTGGGTAAACCAATCTGTGGAAATAAGTCTTTGAAATACCTATTCATTCATTTCTCTAGTATAAAAAATTCCCCTGAGATTTGGTCTCCAGAGAACAATTTCCTAAAAAAAAACAACCTATGGTCATGTTTGTTTTTTTTTTTCAGGAAAAAAACCTATGGTATTCTGAAATCAGTCATGAAGGAATGGTTAAGGCCAAATTAGTAATGCATATTCATGAGGTTATGGATCATTTCACCCTAAGGACATTATCTTTCCACAATTGGGTGCTGAGTGATGGAGATTCATTAAAAGGTGTTATAGTGACTAAAGGGTCAATTTTTCAAGGTTCTCTTAATATTTGTTAAATACTTTTGAACTGAGTGGATTATGCATTGTATAGTGTCATTCGTCTTCCAACATTTGTATGTTATGGTGGTCTGTCATAACTCACAATGTCATATTCCTTGTTTAGTTTCATCCAACCAAATGGAGAAATCATTTTATGTCTCCCTTAAATACTCTTTATGAAATATAAAAATACTTAATTATTATGCATCAACTTTGTAACTTTAATTTTAATATTTCTTTCCTTGCTTCTTTACCATGTTTTTGGATAGCAAAAGACCATTCTATAATGAAAACAGTATGTGAGGGAGAAGCAATGGAGGGAGGGAAGGAAGAACAAAATTGAGTCTAAGGTGTGCTGATACACCTTCTTCCAGTTCATCATTATTTTCTTATTTATAGGCCTCTGGATTTGTTTAACTTTTATCCTATTTTTGTATTTCTATAAATAATAAAGAAGAGAGATACTAAACCAATTCAGAGACAGGAAGGGAAGATCATGGAGAAGCAGCAAAACGCAACTCAATTTGTTTGTGGGAGAGAGGAAGAGAATTGAGAGTGTGCTCTCAAATGGGGTACACACACATTTGCATTCCTATTAGTTTAAAGCTACTGGATGTATTCATTTATTTATTGTCTCATCTACACTGGATGACTAATCCAGAGTGGAAAACCATTGTGCCAAAAAGTCATTCAGAAAGGGTAAAACAGAAATCCAAAAGTGCAAGTTAAAAATAAAAAGAGAGTGTGTGCGAGAGAGATTCCCATTGCCTTCTTTACATTTTTTAAAAACTAGGGCAAAACATCAAAATAATAAAAACATTTAAAGTTACTGGAAACTGAGGACAGACACTGGACCATAGTTGGGGTGCAAAAGGGGGGTGGAGGGTTAAGAGTGATGTCAACATGTAAATACCACCATCTAGTGGACACTCCATGGGATTACAACGAATAGAAACCTGTTGTTTTGTCAATTATTATTATTATTCACCTTTTTCCCATTTCAAGGCAGCTTCCAATCAAACATAGTCTAAAACTCTCTAGTCTGAAAAGTGAAAAAACTGTCAAAATTATAACATTTCAGACAGAAACCATTAAAGGACACCATATAAATTTCAGCACATTATACATAGCCCAATGCTTCCAAAAATGAATTATTGAAGGCTTGCTGGAATAAAAAAGGTCTTCAATTGGAAGTGGAACTATAGTAAGGAAGGGTCCAGTCTATCATCCCTTAGAAAAGAGTTTCAGAACCTGGGAACAATCATGGGAGATCATAAAATCATAGATTTGGAAGAAATCACAAAGGTTATCCATCTAACCCAACTCCCCTCCATGAAGGAACACACATGCAATTACTCGTGGCCAAGTATAATTGTCTTCCAAGGGTAGAGTGTTGGTGGTAGGTCCAAAAGTGTCTGTGTATAGTGAGGACATTGATTTCCAGATGATCGGCAGTCCTAACAAGGGTTTGCTTGGTGCATCTTCCCCTTGCAAAGTTTATTCCTTTTGCCCTCTATTTCATGCCTCTTCAAAATCCATAGCACTCTTGGTAACAGTTGACATCCGGGTTGTATGCTCGAGGGCCATGGCTTCCCAGGACTCAGTGTCTATGCCACAGTTTTTTAGGTTACCTTTAAGCCCATCTTTAAATCTCTTTTCCTGTCCTCCAACATTACATTTTCTATTCTTTAATTAAGAATATACTTGTAGTAACTGCTTTGGGAGATGGTGAACGGGCATTCAGATAATGTGGCCAATCCAGTGAAATTGATGGCAGAGGATCATCACTTCAGTGCTGGTGGTCTTGGATTCTTCCAGAATACTAATGTTTGTCTGCCTATCTTTCCAAGAGGTTTGCAGGTTTTTGGAAGGCAATGCTGATTTTTTTTTTGTTGTGTAAGGAGAGACTTGAGAAACTGCAAGTCGCTTCTGGTGTGAGAGAATTGGTCGTCTGCAAGGACGTTGCCCAGGGGACACCCGGATGATTTGATGTTTTTATCATCCTTATGGGAGGCTTCTCTCATGTCCCCGCATGAGGAGCTGGAGCTGATAGACGGAGCTCATCCGCCTCTCCCCAGATTCGAACCTGTGACCTGTCGGTCTTTAGTTCTGCCGGCACAGGGGTTTAACCCACTGTGCCACCAGGGGCTCCTGGCAATGCTGATGAAATCTTTCCAGAAGTTGAGAGTGACGCTTCAGTGCTTGTTGTCCTTGCTTCATCCAGCACACTGGCATTTGTCCGCTTGTCTTCCCAAGAGATTTGCAGGATTTTCTGGAGGTGACGCTAATGGAATAATTCCAGGAGTTGCATGTGACGTCTGTAGATAGTCCATGTCTCACAGGCTTCTAGCAGGGTTGGGAGGACAATAGCTTTATAGCTTTATAAACAAGCACCTTGGTATCCCTACAGATGTCCCGGCCCTCAAACACTCTCTGCTTCATTTGGAAAAATGCTGCACTTGCAGAGCTCAGGCAGTGTTGTATTTCAGTATCAATGTTGACTTTTGTGGAAAGGTGGCTGCCAAGGTAGCAGAAATGATCAACATTTTCTAATGTTACACCATTTAGCTATATTTCTGGCCTTGGAGAGGGATTGGCTAGTGACTGCTTGGTTTTCTCGATGTTCAATGACAGGCCTAGCTTCTCATCTTCTACTGCGAAGGTGTTTAAAGTGGCTTGTAGGTCTTCTTCTGAATGTGCACAGATGACATCTGATGATGTTGTCATCAGCATATTGGAGTTCTATAACAGATGATGTTGTAACCTTGGTTTTGGCTTTCAGTTTGCTGAGGTTAAATAGAGTAAAGAGGTGGGTATGGGTGTGATGAAGCAGTTTTTCATCCTGCCTTGAGTCTCATCTCAGAAGAAAAGTTGGATACAAATAAATAAATAAACAACACAAATTAATTTAAAGGAACATCATCCCAAAACACAAGATCCGATGAAGCTGCAAAGCACAATGCCAACTTGATTATAGAATTTGGGGACATATATCCTTAAATGACAGAAGCGTCCTCTTTCTAAGTCTACTGATGATTGCCATCAGAACTTTTAACGGACTTTTTCTCATGTCATAGTATATTCAGATTAACCCATGATAAAGGGTAAGAGAGGGTGGTGTGAAAGTCCTCTGGATGTTACAATGTTGTTGCTATTTTTTTCCTTTTCTCTACTGAACTGCGCATGGGGAGAGAACTGCAAGTTCTCATCACAATCCATTCCATCAGAAGACACTTATCTTTTCCTTCTTGAATGAATCTTCCACTGCTTCAGAAAGTTGATAATCCATATTCTTCCACAGGTATGTAGAACTAATATATTTATATGAAACACCCATGCCTCCATAGATAATAAGAGTAATTGCCTTTCATTGTTGCATTCCAGCATCTTGGTTTAAAAGGAATTTGAATAGCAGTACCTGGAAATTAAGACGTGTCTCCTTTTCTACCTCTCTTCCAATCTTCTATGGTTCCTACTCCTTACCAAAGACACAAAAGGCTTCGGCTATCTCTGCACACTTTGCCAGACAAAGAAAGCAATGTGGCTGCCAACTGTATAGCTTTTAAGGTGAGTAAAACACATTCCTGATCGGTATCTTGCTACAAACTGCTTCATGATATCTTTGGATTAACATCAGTGTTGCAACCATTATGCATAGTAGGGATCTGCAAAAATATTGTTACTCCTCATAAGTCATATAAAATTTGTTAAATTTGTGCATACAAATTAATATTAGAAGCATGCAGGAAAGGTAGGCGGGATTTAAGAATCAAAACCCTCACCAACTATTTTTGTTAAGATTCTGTAATATTCGGATGCCTCCCAATGTCAGTTTAATTTTCAGTATAAGCATTATACTAATAAATAACATGATTGAATCTGCAGAGAATATTAAATTAATTAATAGTATAAATCTGTACTAAATTGAAGTTATGTGGTTAATTCTGTGTCACATAGACAGACAGTCATTAAAGGAGATTCCTGTTGTTGCTTTTTTGGGGATTTTTTTGTTCAAACCTTTAAAAATCCCCCAAAATTCTTAGATATGTGAATCTTTCTTAAACGTCTGGGAATTTATGTGCTGGTTATCTTGTGCATTGTAGTTAAAATTAAAGTAGATCGCTCTTGTAGTTTTTTAAAAAGAAATATTATTTGTAAAACAAATCCAAAAATCTCCCTAAAATTAGTTGAAGAGTGTAACATCCTGATATTTGGAGGTCTAACAGTGGAAAATGTGTGGTATAGCTACAGTAAGTTTCATCATGGTAGCTCTAAAAATGAGGGAGAAATGACCCCCTGAAGTTTCCTCACTTGCTCAATTACTTAACAAAAAAAAGTAACAAAATTTTGTTACTCTCGTTATAATTTATTTTACTTGTTTATTTATTATATTTATATACCACCCCTCTCAGCCCAAAGGCAACTCAGAGGGGTTCACAAATTGGCAACAATTTGATGCTTCACAATTATAACAAGTAAAAGCAATAAAAAATATTGTTGAAGGCTTTCATGGCTGGAATCACTCAGTTCTTGTGGGTTTTTTCGGGCTATATGGCCATGTTCTAGAGGCATTTCTCCTGACGTTTCGCCTGCATCTATGGCAAGCATCCTCAGAGGTGAGGTGACCTCACCTCTGAGGATGCTTGCCATAGATGCAGGCGAAACGTCAGGAGAAATGCCTCTAGAACATGGCCATATAGCCCAAAAAAACCCACAAGAACTGAATAAAAAATATGTTAAAAACAATAGCATATGATATAAAATATAAAAACCATACAAAGCCTTAAAACATTATTGTGAGCATCTCCATGTCAAATCGTTGCATTATCAAGTAGTTCCATAATTCCGTTTAGCTATGCTGCATTTGGGAAGGCCTGCTCAAAAAGCCAGGTTTTCATCTTTGTTTCAAAAAGCCAGGAGGGAGAGAGCCGATCTTATACCTCTAGGCAGGGCGTTCCACAGTCGAGGGGCCACCACTGAGAAGGCCCTATCTCTTGTCACCGCCAGATGTATTTGCAAAGAAGGCGGGAGTGAGAGCAGGGCCTCCCCAGAAGATCTTAACATCCTAGATGGTTTATAAGGAGAGATACATTCGGATAGGTAAGTAGGACCAAAATCATGTAGGGTTTTATAGGCTAAAGCCAGCACTTTAAATTGTGCCTGGAAGCAAACAGGCAGTCTGTGGAACTGGTGCAACAGAGGAGGATTTCTTGCCTAAGAAACTCCTATAAGATTCACAAGGTTTCCATAAGTCAGCAGCCAACTTGAAATCACATCTAGACAGAAACACATCCTGCTGTTTGTCATACAATCTCAGACTGGCTAATAATAATAATAATAATAATAATAATAATAATAATAATAATAATAATAAGTCGACGACAGATCCCAAGTGTAGACTCTGCAAGGAAGCAGATGAAACAATAGATCACATCCTCAGCTGCTACAAGAAGATCGCACAGACACACTACAACCAGAGGCATAACACCATTGCTCAGATGATTCATTGGAACTTGTGCCTCAAACACCATCTGCCTGCGATAAAGAATTGGTGGGATCACAAGCTGGAAAAAGTTACAGAGAATGAACACGCCAAGCTACTCTGGGACTTCCGGATTCAGACAGACAGAGTTTTGGAGCACAATACTTCTGACCTCACAATCATGTTAAAAAAACAAAGTATGGATTGTCTATGTTGCAATCCTAGGTGACAGCAGGATTGAAGAGAAACAACTGGAAAACTGACACGATACGAGGATTTAAAGATCAAACCGCAAAGACTCTGGCACAAACCAGTAAAGGTGGTCCCAGTGGTGATCAGCACACTGGGTGCAGTGCCTAAAGGCCTTGACCTACACTTAAACACAATCGGCACTGACAAGATTACTATCTTGGGAAGTGTCTGACGTGTGATGCAATGCAACGGCCAGGAGAGTGTCCGCTGTGGACTAATCTTGTTGTGTTTCAAATAATAAATAATAATAATAATAATAATAATAATAATAATAATAATAATAATTCAAATATATATATTAATTAGAATAACAGTTTAAAAACACTTTAAAAGCAACAGTTTCAGAGCCTTGGGGGCAGACACTGAGAAGGATGTATTTGATGTCCCCACCAAACATAACTGTGAGGATCATGGAATATGTTGAAGTATCTCAAGGGACAGCCAGGGTCATGTAATCTTCACACATTTTAGATCTAAACATATTTAATACCTCAGTTGTATTATTTGTTAAAGTTTATAGAAGGAGAAACATTCAAAGCTTCTCTGTTTTCCCTTCACAGAAGTGCTTATAACAGAAGAAAGCGGATAGAAGCAGAGATTTGGAGGATGACCAATTTCAGCACAAAATTCCCATTCCTTTTGAATGAGTCTTATGGTGATGGATATCTGCAGACAGCCAATAATTGGATATCAGGTGGTAATTCCTCACATGTTGATAGAAAAACCTACGTCTCATCTTTAGAAGTATGCCTCAGTGTCCTGACTATGGTGATCTGCTTTTTTGGACTCATGGGGAATGGAATTGTCATCTGGCTTCTCACTTTCAGTATTCCAAGGAATGCTTACACAACTTTCATACTGAATTTGGCTACTGCTGATTTTGCAGTCCTCCTGTCCATACCTCTCATTTTTATTTTGTTTCCCCTTAACCTAGATATTGCTCCTCTTTACTGGGAAGATCTCTTTATGTGTATCTTCATTCCTGGCCATTTTTTGCTGATAGCCATCAGTTTTGATAGGTGTATGTCAGTTTACTTCCCAATTTGGCATCGATGTCACAGGCCAAAATACTTTTCTTCCATTGTGTGTGCAGTAATATGGGTTCTCTCTTTCCTTCTTTTTGGGATTCCATGCATGCTCGTTTTAATTGATGAACCTAGATATAGTTCTGCGGTGCTATTTGTATCAGTTTCAACGTCCTTACTTTGTCTCCCACTTATGATCATCTCCACTCTGAGCCTGTTCATCAAGGTCTGCTTGAGACCATCCCAGCATCAACGTGGAAATATTTTAACAGCCATCTTACTGACTCTTCTCTTCTTCATCGTTCTTGCATTGCCATTTAATATCATCTTTTGTATTTTCTATTTTTCATTTGGTTACTCTCTTTCTCGATCTGTCTATGGATTCTTATTTGCCTCCTTAAACAGTAGTGTTAACCCACTGATTTATTTCCTGGTTGGAAGACGAAAGAGAGGGAAATACAGGGAGAGTGTGAAGGTTATTTTCCACAGGATTTTCAGTGATGAGAAAGACAGCAGACCACAGCTGGACACAGTTCAAACCCAAACCCCATTATGATTTTCCCCCATTAGAGTGTAAGCCTGTCAATTTCAGAACAGGCTGACGAAGGACATTATCCCACTGAAATCACCAGATTATTCACCTTGTTTGCATTTAATGTGTAAAACATTTGTCAATCTGATGGTATGGCCTTCACAAACATCTGTTCCTCCTCGTATCAAAATTAAAAATGCGCATGAACCGATATCACACGCTCCCATGGCTGCTTTGTCTGTTTCTCCTGGTTCACTTCATCTCACCCTGCCACCTTTCCTTTTTTTGTCATTAGATGAAGCCTCACAGGGCCTAAAGAAAATGAGACTTGAATCACTTGGACATAACATTACCCAGCTATATCTTTCTTCTGTGTGATCTCCCTAATTCTCTTCCTTTTCCAACATTCCTAAGTTTTGTTAACCCAATTAAAGATGGATCTGGCCTGAACTTGGAACACAAATGCAACATGACCAAATTATAATGCTGAGGGTGTTTTGTTTCTTTCTTTTTTTGGGGGGGGGGGGCAAATTGATCCAGGCTGGTGGGAGATGTAGGTTACCTAAGGACACTGTGACCCCACCTGAGGATAGATCTGGCTCAAACGCAGCACACAGACATAATGTTTCATACATTATGCTTTTAAAAAGTGAAAACATAAATATAACCTTTTGGTTCCGAAAGACTGGGAAACAAAAAGTAAAATGAAATGTACTGTTGTAAGGAAAAGAATATTATTATTATTATTATTATTATTATTATTATTATTAACTTTATTTATACCCCGCTAACATTTCCTGAAGGACTCGATGCGGCTTACAAAGGCCAAGGCCGCCAACAAAACAACAACATAACAATACAGCAATAAAACTCATAAAGCAAACAATAAACATCAAGCAAAAAATAAAACACTAAAAACAATGACACCATGACGCATTTAAAACCTAAGGCCAGGCCAATGTAATGAACAAAATTTAAAAGTGCTGGACATGACAGGTGAAATGTAGAAGTTTTGGAGGTAGGTGCTATGTGCAGACAATCCTAACTCTCTAACAAAGTGCATTTGGGACATCATGCTAGGAGTTTCCTTTTCTGGAAAGGCACACTGGAACAGCCAAGTCTTCAGGCTCTTCCTAAAGACTGCCAACGTTGGGGCTTGTCTAATGTCCTTGGGGAGAGAGTTCCAGAGTCAGGGGGGCACCACAGAGAAGGCCCTGTCCCTCGTATTTTAGGCTGTATTTTAAAGGGTTGTTTGGCATACAAACTGCAGGAAAAAGGAAGAAATGACTGCAGGGGAGCTAGAAAATCATCAATCAATCAATAATCAAAGTGCAGACTCTGCAAGAAAGCAGATGAAATGATGGATCACATCTGCAGCTGCTGCAAGAAGATCACTCAGATGGACTACAAGCGGAAGTACAACACTGTTGCTCAGATGATCTGCTAGAACTTGTGCCACAAATACCATCTACCTGTGACAAAGAACTGGTGGGATCACAAGCCTGAAAAGGTTACAAAACTGAACAAGTCACACTAATCTGGAATTTCCTAATTCAGACTGAAAGAGTTTTGGAGCACAGTACTCCTGATGACTGCGGAAGCATGGGAGGTGGGGTTCAAAACTTTCAGCTTCATCCTGATTGATTACTTCTCAGTTTGTCATGAGGGATTTGGGAGACTGTGCTTAGGTATATGTAAGGTGTATATACTATAGAATTAATATTTATTATTTATTTATTTCCAATATTTCTATCCCACCCTTCTCAACCCCCGAGGGGGGACTCAGGGTGGCTTACAAACCGGCCACAATTCAAAGCCTGAATATAATACAAATATAAACAGAAATAGCAACAGTTTAAAATAGTAAATAAAACATTAAGTTAAAAACAGTTTGGCTAAATGCTATACAGGAATTGTAGTTTGGTGAGGCACCATTACTCTTGGGATGAGAAGGCTAAAGACCTTCCTTAATTATATAGCATTGTGCCATTGCAGTTAATGTGTTATTAAACTACATTGATTCTACAATGGAGATGGTTGTTGAGATAGTTTTAACTAGTGGATTTTAACGTCGAGATATGTGATTTTAATACTTTTGTATGTGTATGGTATAGTATGTTTCGGCATTGAATGTTTGCCGTTTATATGTTGTGCTTTGCCCTCAGTCCCCTTTGGGTTGAGAAGGGTGGAATATAAATGCAATAAATAAGTAAATAAATAAATAAATTTCATAAGCTAAGAAGCTAAGCTTCAGTATTAACCATATATTTTAACTGTTTTTTAAATCTTTCTCATTCTAACAATTTCTATACTTTTACTCTCATTTTTGGATAAAAGCGAGTATTTAATACCAATATGAATATATATATATATATATATATATATATATATATATATATATTCATTTTAAATAACAAAACCAACATAATTTGATGAATAATATTATGTTTAGTCTTTTATTACACAGAGTATAGCAATCATATTTTTAATTTTTTTTAAAAAAAGACTTCATTTGAAGATATGTGAAAAAGGCATGAAAGAGAAACAAACTGGTCACTCCATCTCTAGAATGAAGTTCAATTGAAATGAACTTGTAGTGGTGGTAGAACATGGCAAGCACTTTCCATTTTGTATCTATGACTGTTTCTTTTCCACAATAAGCACAATGTGCACCAGAAGTGCTCAGTGCTCATAAATTGTGCCAGATGTGCATAGAATACTTTTGGCAGACTGTTCACTCAATTAAGTTAAACCTTATCAAACCTTAAAAATTTCATATCATTGAAAAATTTTACCAAATTACATTCTTTTCCATCTCATTGGATTAAATGCTTAAGCCAAATGGAGAGCTTCACATTGCTCTTTTTGGGGGAACGGTCTTGCATTAGTCATTTAGAAAACAATGACCAATCTTTTTGAAGGTCTTCTCTAATGTTTTGTAAGGGCTTGTATACATGGACTCAATAACCACCATGTTACTCCTGGTTAACTTCTTGATATGCAGAGAGTTTTAGTCCTTGCTACAGTGTAAACCAGGTTAAACAGGTTATGCCTCATGATAAGTACAGCAGCATTCCAGGTAACATCAAGTTTGACTGAAACTCCAGAGCAGACCCATGGTTTGGCCACAATGTGGATAGAACAACTTGTTCCAATGAATTCTGGACTGCTGTCCACACAAGCCACTCCAGCATTGCCATCACAAAGGAAAGGAGATGGATTGGGCTCATGTCCACAGCATCATTATTTTTATTCCATGGTCTGATGCAGTGGCAGCAAGCAACCACCAGAACTTACAGATTGTTCTTTCTTGAGCTATATACTCCTCAGTACAAAAGGGCAATGGGCAGATGGGTTGTTGTAGGTTTTCCAGGCTATATGGCCATATTCTAGAGGCATTTTCTCCTGATGTTTCGCCGCATCTGTGGCAAGCATCCTCAGAGGTAGTGAGGTCTGTTGGAAGATGGGCAGATGATTGGGATCACTGCTGAAGTTGCTCTCTGCCACCATGATAATTTTGGTCAAACACATGAAAAGAAAATGTTGAGACATTGACCATGTGAGACATTTCTCATGAGCACAAATGCAGATAAGGAAAATGTGAAACAAGCTCACGCCTTAAAACCAGTATATTTAAAAAGTCAATGATTAAAAACAATAACCACAACCCCAATCACATACCTGCAAGGAGAAATAAAACTTCTGCCAGATTCTGCATTGAACCATAATTTGTGCTATCATCTTGAGTTTTAAATTCAAGATACAACAGATAAAAAGGGATAGTTCCTTGACAAATGACTACCTGAAGCATTCCCAAAGAGAAACACTTCAGTGAATCTTTTGTGTGACTGCTTGGAGATGCTGGAATTCTGGGACCACATGGAGGTACCATTTTGTTGCTCTTCCACTAGCAAGAACGGAGAGATAAGTAAAGCAGCATTCCAGGGAGTTTGGCTGAAACTTTAGAGCACCCCATGGTTTGGATACAATGTGGAGAGAACAACTTGTTCCAATGTGGACTGGTCTGCTGTCCACACAAGCCACTCCAGCATTGCCATCACAAAGGAAAAGGGATGGACTGGGCTCATATCCACACCATCATCATTTTTATTCCATAGCCTGATGCAGTGGCAGCAAGCGACCATCAGAACATATAGATTGTTCTTTCTTGAGCTATATACTCCTCAGTACAAAAGGGCAATAGGCAGATGATTGGGATCACTGCTGAAGTTGCTCTCTGCTACTATGATAATCTTGTTCAAACATGTGAAAAGAAAACTTTGAGATATTAACCATGTGAGACATTTCCCATGAGCACAAATGCACATAAAGGAAACTGTGAAACAAACTTATGTCTTGGAACCGTTACGTTAAAAAAAGGTCAATGATTAAAAATGATAACCAGAACCCCAATCACAAACTTGCAAGGATAAATCAAACTTCTGTCACATTCCAAGGAACCATACTTTGTGTTGTCGTCTTGAGTTTTAAACTCAAGATACGACAGTTAAGAAGGGATGGTTCCTTGGCACATGACTGACTACCTGAATCATTTCTGAAGAGAAATGCTTGAGTGAACCTTTTGTGTGACTGCTTGAAGATGCTGGAATTCTGGAACCACATTGAGCTACCATTCTGTTGCTCTTCCACCAACAAGAACAGATAGATGAGCTGCCTTGAGATTTTGGAACTCCCTGCCAAGACATGCCAGGTTTGCTCTTTTTCATTTTTCTTTTGCAGGAAAACTAAGAGAAATAATCACATTTTGCTTTCAGAATTCAAATTGCCCTGTCACTCAAGGGTACCTATTTTGTTGGATGCTTTCTCTTAAATCTCTCCTGTATTCTATTTTACAATAAGTTACCTTTCCTCCTTATTTCCTTGAATAATTTTGCATATTTTGTCACAGCACTGCACTTTTGTGCCATATCCTAATTCATTAGCCAAAATTTGCACCATACTATTACCTGCTCCTGTTTGCAAATTGTCGTTTTACAACAGTTCTCATCATAGGTTATTGGTTGCTGTTTTGAGTTTAAACTTTGTTTTATATGCTATTGGTTTTATCTTGTATTGCATTGTGTTTTTATTTTATGAGTTGTTTTAAGCACATTGTGCTATATGTAAGCCACCCCGAGTCCCTTCGGAGAGATGGAGGCAGGGTACAAAAATAAAGTTGTTGTTGTTGTTGTTTCAATAATTTAGT